AAACATTTTAATGTCAGTAACAGAAACACTTTTCATTTGTACAATAATGATATCAAACTATCTTCTTCATGATGTCACAATGTATTGAGATATGTCAGTGTGTACATACATATAATGAAGCAGTCTCAGTATTTGCTCCAAGAGCTGCAAATACAGACAGTTCATCAGTTCCAACTCAGGCAGGACTCAACTCGCTCTTTCTCCACCTGACTTTAGCTTCTGCTGTGGCAGATCTGCAGTGTGAGGAGAGATGTGTGTGTGTGTGTGCCTCAGTAGCTGTATCTATCATTGTTTAACCTACTGTAGATGAACCCAGGACAATAGTGATATGGACACTTCAATGACTTCATTTACTGTTTATCAGACCACAGATGAGACAAGAATTAGGTTGAAAACAGACTGTTTCTGGGGGCGGGGCCTCACTGATTACACTGACTAATTATAAAACATTTCTATTGTTAATGTCACTAATTTTACATAACTTTAGAAATGTATTAATGATGAATGAATTTAACCTATTAATTATTAATTTAATCTATTAAATAAAAAAAGGAAATGTTCATTAAATAAGCAGTAATGTTCTGATTATTTCCAGTCACAGTGTTTATTTTACATTAGTCATGTAAATAGTTTTACAGTGTGTTATAAAGAGTGACACATTAAAACCACTGTTGCATATTTAGCTCACTCTAAAATGTGCTGCTAGTATTTTCATATTGTCACTAACTGAGGATCATTATGAAATGAACATTAGCAACAGAAGAATCCATACTGACCCACAGACTACAGGCTCAGACCACTACTTCATTATGCTTATTGACTGAAGTATTCCTTATTCCTGACTACATCCACATGAAAACTGAACTACATCATGGCTTCTAAAAGAACAGTAGTGAATGAGGAGCATCATGGGGGATTTAGGAGTGGGTATAACCTGCACTACAGCACTGACAGGCCTCTTCCACCAACAGGGAACTGTTCGGAGCGTTGGACCAAAAATAAATCGGTTGGGAACCTGAACAGTTGGTTGAAAACAAGGTTGAAGCGTTGAATGCAGCTCTGATAGGACTGCAGGAGAGTGAGGCTGATATCAGTTAATGTGCAATAAGTTGATTAATTTTAAGTGTCTGAGTGGTGGTGGAGATTTCCATGCTTCATTTCCATCAGACAGAATTCAAATGAGCTGAGTTTATTCAAATCATAAACAGTGGAGCAACACTTGTTTACAGCCAGAGGTGTTTCTACTCATTTACTTTGCTGAATAAGTTTGAGAAGAAATCAGATTACTGCTGGTCTGTGGTGAAGCCTCCTCATTAATACATCCACTGTCACTGTACAAATAATTAGTCATTAAAGTGTTTATGATTCATATCTGATAGGAGCTGATTTCAGCCTTCGTCCACGAGGAGTCAAACATTAATAATAATAATAACGATTACAATTCCTTGTTAACCTTTAGGATCACATTTAAAGAAGTTAAAAAAACAGTAATATTCCTGCAGCTGGAGCGCAAAAAATACTGTAAATAATATAATAATATGAATAACTGACTCGTAAAAATACAGTAATTTACTATAATATAAATACAGTTTTTAACTGTATTTATGTAAAATCTTTATTTGGCTTTTAAATGTTAAATTGAAGATTGTGTCTGTGTCCAACTCTTCCTCACTATTTATTTTTATTTACTTCTATTAGACATTAATATCAATTAATATTCTTCTTCTAGGTCCATAAATATAGAGAGAACACGCAAGAGCAAATACATTGACTGGATGAGACATGGCACAACATTTTTTTCAGGTGTGTGTTCTCTCTATGTTTCTGACCTAGAGCCACCAGAAGACTCTTCCTGCCAACCTCACCCTGCCTCTAACCACTGAGCCTGGATGTTCAGGTGAGTGCAAGCTGCTCATCTTGACTGCACCACTGATTCCACACTTAGTGTGTCTCAGGTGTGTGCCTGATGAATGTGAAGAATTTTAGCAATAACTTAACTGTCCTGTTTTATTCATCTTTAATCTCTTTAAAAAAATATCAGGTTATGCTTTATCACACAATGTTTTATTGTTAGTTTATTTTTTGTTTTGATTCTTTAGTGTGAACTTTTTGTTCTCAGATGTTGCTCCACTGTTTAAAAATATGTTTAAAAGTTTATTTTTTGTATATTTATTATTGAACAGGTTTATTCTTTTGCACATATTGTTATATTGTTTGTATTATCATTGTTTAAATAAATGTGCAATTCTTTGGAGTTCTTTTCTCGTGGGGATGGGGCGCTATCAGTAAAGCTCGCCTGGGCACCAAATGGTCTAGGACCGCCCCTGATATTAATCTCTAATAGAAGTAAATAAAAAGAAATAAAGAAATAATTTTAATTGAATGAATAATGTGTAGTATTTTATATATTTTTGTCTGTAATTTCTACCCCACCATACAGAATGTAAATGTCTTTGTATTAGCATAAACCAATATAAACAGATATAAACTGATATAAACAGATATAAACCAATATAAACAGATATAAACCGATATAAACAGATATAAACAGATATATAGGTAGTGCAGTAACTACAGACTCATTTATCACATATATATTACATATAATACATATTCTGTATTTCTGATTGTTTGCAACTGAAGAGTCATTAAGAATAAAGCAATCCTCAAATATGATTTTTAGATGTTTAACCAATTAAATGTGTTTAAATTGTAACATTTATGGAAACTTGTTCTTAGAATAAGATTCTTGTTTTATAAATAAATGATAATCAATCAAATCTCGGTTATAAAATGTTAAAATTGCTGTTACAAGTTGAAGTTACATAAATGATGACGTAGCTACAGGGTGTGCATTGTAACAGTTTATGGTTGTATAATCTTTAAGTTAGAGCGACACTGAATTCTGTCACAAGATAAAACATTTATAAGTTTAGAGGGCAGAATAGATCCCAAATAAAACAATCCTGAGTCTTAATATTAGCACAATAACTGGGGATCAAATCAAAAACTTAAACTTAAGTTAGGTGTATTCTTTAGAAATAAGCAGTAGGTTGCACATTGTACACGCTGCTGGCAGATATTTCCTGTGATTTTACAGTATTTTGGCTCAGTGCAGGACACAAATATAAATAATTAAGGCATAAATTAAGAGATGATCCAGTCCAACAGAACCCGACACTGAAGAGGAGCATCATCTCCAGGCTTCACTAGGATCTCTGACTGGTCTGAAGACAAAACACAAAGTGGTTCATTGATTTCTAAGAAGACTTTTTATTGAGAGCAGACTGAATTCAATCAGAACTTTATTTATAAAGCACCTTTGTGCAGAACTGTAATACAAAAAGATTAAAATATATATTGGATTAAGGCAAACTGGTCCCAGTGGACTCAGTTACACATTGTAAGTTATTGTCACAGATTGTAATGTGGGAACTGAGGATACATCACCACTCGCCAACCTGACTCAGGAGGAGGAGACGAGTGAGGCCAGCGTCTCCACAGCAGGCCACATTCACACATTCACACATTCACTCATTCACACATTCACACATTCATTCACACATTCACTCATTCACACATTCTCTCATTCACACATTCATACAGTGATTCAGCATCAGGAACAGTTTGGGGTTCAGTATTTTGCTCAAGGACACTTCGACATGCAGCTGGAGGAGCCGGGGATCGAACCAGCAACCTTCTGATCAGTGGACGACCCGCTCTACCTCCTGAGACACAGCCAGATATATATGTATAGAAGCTGAATACACAAACATCAGAGAAACATTATAGAGCTACATGAGACCAATCAATCAATCAATCAATCAATCTATCAATCAGTCAGTCACAGTATGGACTGCAGGTTCATTCAGACGATGAAGAAAGGAAACACTGAAAGCTGAACGTTGACATTCTCTTCCTTTGAGCCCCTTCAACAAGATCAATAATCAAAGATTGATCAACAGACCAATCAAACAGATTGATCAGCCATCAGAGGAGTTGGATCAATGGAGCTGCTTCTGTTCCTGGTTCTCCCTGCAGAGGAGACAGAGGACAGTCAGACACAGACAGACACAGAGACATCTGACCTCTGACCTGTATCTACAGTACTGATCTCTGACCTGTATCTACAGTGCTGACCTCTGACCTGTATCTACAGTACTGACCTCTGACTGTGAGCTTCACTATTTTCTCTCTCCAGATGTTCTTGTTGTAGACGTAGCAGTAGTATGTTCCTGTGTCTCTCTCTTTGGGGGATTTCAGGGTCAGACTGAGGTCTCCAGTTTTCAGCAGGTCTTCATTCATCTCTGTTCGGTCTTTGTAATCTTGGTTCTGTATTTCAGGCTGATCAGAACTGTTCTGATACACATGGACATTTATTATGGGTTCAGGTTCAATGCGTCTCCACCTCACTCCAGCATCCTCAGGCATGTCAGCTGTGGTCTTGAAGGGCAGTTGGACAGACTCCGCCCCCTCCTCCACCTCCACCTGACAGACTGAGAGAACAACAAACCCCAACATCAGCTGTACAGACAGCAGCAGCAGTTTGTAATAACTTTATTGACTGATTACAAACTAACGTTACAGAGAGCTAACTTTATGCTACGAGCCAGAGAGCTAATGCTATGCTACGAGCTAACTTTATGCTACGAGCCAGAGAGCTAATGCTATGCTACGAGCCAGAGAGCTAACGCTATGCTACGAGCCAGAGAGCTAATGCTATGCTACGAGCCAGAGAGCTAACGCTATGCTACGAGCCAGAGAGCTAACTTTATGCTACAAGCCAGAGAGCTAACGCTATGCTACGAGCCAGAGAGCTAATGCTATGCTAACAATGATACAATATTCAAAGCACTGACCTTTGACCTGTATCTACAGCACTGACCTTTGACCTTGACCAGCACTTGTTTCTTCATCAGGATCTTTCCCTCCCTGTTGTAGACGGTGCAGGTGTAAATGTCAATGTCTCTGTCTGTGGGGTATTTCAGGGTCAGACTGAGGTCTCCAGGTTCCAGCAGGTTTCTCTTCATCTCTGTTCGGTCTCTGTAATACTGGTTCTGTTCTTCAGGCTGATCAGAACCGTTCTGATACACATGGACCTTCATGTTGTCACTGTCCCTCCACTCCACTGTGACGTCCTCAGGCAGGTGAACTGTGGTTTTGCAGGGCAGCAGGACAGACTCCACCCCTGAATACACCTCCACCTGGTAGACTGAGAGGACAACAAACCACAACATCAGCTGCACTGCAGAAAATCTATTTCTAAGTCAGTTAGATAATCTGATATTTAGATTTAAAATCTAGTGGGATTTGTTTTGAGTGTGAACTGATGATCTAGTGCTCACTATGGAAGGCTGTTTGACTGAATTTAAGTAAATGTCACTTGTCTTAATGAGCAGTTTGATCTTATTTGGAGTTATTTTTAGCTACAGGGACACATTAGACCTCCCCTTCCTCTCTAAGATTCTGGAGAAAGTAGTCGCCAAAGAGTTGTGTGACTTTCTACATAACAATAGTTTATTTGAGGATTTTCAGTCAGGATTTAGAGTTCATCATAGCACAGAGACAGCTCTGGTTAAAGTTAATAATGACCTTCTGACTGCTTCTGACAATGGACTTGTCTCTGTACTTGTATTATTAGATCTTAGTGCTGCATTTGACACCATTGACCATAATATTCTTTTGGGGAGACTTGAGCATCAAATTTGCATTAAAGGAACCGCACTAAGCTGGTTTAAGTCATATTTATCAGATCGCTCGCAGTTTGTACATGTTAACGATGAATCTTCAATAAATACTACAGTTAGTCATGGAGTTCCACAAGGTTCTGTACTTGGACCAATACTATTTGCTTTATATATGCTCCCTTTAGGCAACATTATTAGGAATCTCTCCATTAACTTTCACTGTTATGCAGATGATACGCAGTTATATCTATCAATCAAACCCAATGAAATTAATCAATTATCTAAATTACAAACATGTCTTACGGACATAAAATCCTGGATGAGCTCCAATTTTCTGATGTTAAACTAAAAAAAACTGAAATTCTTGTTCTTGGCCCCAAAAACCTTAGAGACTCATTGTCTAAAGATATAGTCACTCTAGATGGCATTAACTTGGCCTCTAGCACCACTGTCAGGAATCTTGGAGTTATCTTTGATCAGGATTTGTCATTTAACTCCCACATAAAGCAGACCTCTAGGACTGCCTTCTTTCATTACGTAATATTATAAAAATTAGACACATACTATCACAGACAGATGCAGAAAAACTAATCCATGCATTTGTTACTTCAAGGCTGGATTACTGCAACTCTTTATTATCAGGTTGCCCCAATAAGTCCATTAAAAACGCTCCAATTAATTCAGAACGCTGCAGCACGAGTACTGACAGGAACTAGAAAAAGAGATCACATCTCTCCTGTACTAGCTTCTCTGCATTGGCTCCCTGTAAAATGTAGAATTGAATTTAAAATCCTCCTCTTCACCTATAAAGCTCTTCATGGTCAGGCCCCTTCATATCTTAAAGAGCTCATAGTACCCTATTACCCCACTAGAACACTACGTTCTCTGAATGCTGGGCTACTTGTGGTTCCTATAGTCTCTAAAAGTAGAACAGGAGCCAGAGCCTTCAGTTACCAAGCTCCTCTCCTGTGGAACCAGCTTCCAGTTGTGGTTCGGGAGGCAGACACCCTCACCACATTCAAGAGTAGGCTTAAGACATTCCTCTTTGATAAAGCTTATAGTTAGGGCTGGATCAGGTGAGTCCTGAACCATCCCTTAGTTATGCTGCTATAGGCCTAGACTATCGGGGGATTTCCAATGGTGCACTGAGCTCCTCTCTTCCTCTCTCTTTCTGCACTCATTCATGTTCCATTAATGCATGTTACTAACTTCACTTCTTCCCCGGAGTTCTTGTGCTTTCTCGTCTCGCAGGTTCTCATGGATCCTGGTGGAGCCTCCTGCCATGGTCCTGCTTGACTGCCATTGCCAATACTGTTGTTGCTGTGCACCTGTCTGTCTGTCTGTCTCTCGCTCTCTCTGCCTCTCCCTCTCGCTCTCTCTCTCTCTGCCTCTCTCTCTTCTCTCTCTCTCTCTCTCTCTCTCTCTCTCTCTCTCTCTCTCTCTCTCACCCCAACTGGTCGAGACAGACGACCACCCACCTAGAGCCGGAGGATCTGTCCTAGGTTTCTGCCTTTTAACAGGCAGTTTTTCCTTGCCCTTGTCGCCAAGTGCTTCCTCATGGTGGTACTGTTGGGTCTCTGTAATTAATGTTAAAGAGTTCGGTCTAGACCTGCTCTATTTGAAAAGTGTCCTGAGATAACTTCTGTTATGAATTGGCGCTATACAAATAAAATTGAATTGAATTGAATTGAATTGAATTAGCTACAGGAGCTCCAGTATGCTTTGACACTTTAAGATCTGAACTTTCAACACAAAAACATCTTATTTCAACTTTTAGTCTTTTGGCTTCTGTGATATTATATTTTACACTTTATCTTCAAACTGAATATTTCCTGAACCGTTCAGTGTTTGGAAGTCAATAACAGTATTTGAGATCAATTATTTGATGTGTATGAAGCCAGTGTCTAAAACCTGGACTCATGTGTTCCACTTAGTGTCAGTGAGGACTCTGGCAGCAGCGCTCTGAATCCTTTCAGTCTGGGTTTTTCAGGTGGTATTAGGAGGATCTTGTTGTTTTGGTTTTTAGGTCCAGAACTACATCAAGATTTCTGACATGGTAGAATCGTTTGGCTCCGCTAACGTTACGCTGTGAGCCAGAGAGGCAAAGGCAGATAGTCAAAAGAACATTTTAGTGACATTTTCTTGCATTGGACTCAAATCTTTATTTATTATTAGTATCATTCTCTAACTGTTTGCATGTGTGTAGTTGTTTACATCCTGTAAAAGTGGGGAAATAACATGAAGCATCCTTCATCTCCAGTGAACGTCCCAGCTCTGTTAAATCATCCTAACAGATTGCTTAGAGGTTCCTTTAAAAAAATCACACATCAGTTCCTAAGGCAGAAAACTGCCACCTTCGCAAAAACTGCTGTAAAAATCTTATAAATCAATATTTTTTTCTACTTTAAATGAGTCAAGCTTTTAGAACTACTCCAGCTTGAAATATACATATCAAACATTTATTATATTTGGGGGATTTTAACCCTTTAAAGGCCAATATGTTTACACAACTCTGCTGTTGTGGAAAGTCTCAGAGTTTGTTTGAGACCAGTTATTCTTCCAATTTTTTAAGTCCATTTTGCTGCTGCTTCATCAATTTCATCTTCAGATGAGTCTTCAGATGAGTCAGGGCTAAACACCGGATCGTCTGTCTCTACCTCTGAGGCCTCCTCCGTGGAGTAATCAGAGTACTCGGAGGAGGAGGAGGATGAGGAGCCATCTTCGCTCTTGTAGCCCATGATTATTTCAAGCACCTCCTGTGTGCTGTAATGCCTTCTGGTTCTCGCCACTCATAGTTTTTATTATTGAATTAATTTATAAACTCAAAAAAAACAACTTTTCTGTGATGGCTCTATCAGTTCAATACATTTGTGTTGGGAGTAGGTGTTGTTAAATAAATATTGGATGCTTTGAAAGCGGTTGCTTATTTATTTTTTTGTGAAAATGGAGGACACTTCCTTCCCTCTCAATGTAGTGGGTCAGTTTTGCCAGATTAAACTGATGACGATGTGTTTGTTTTCATAACATTTGTGAGTGAGTGGTCTTGACAAGAGAACATAGCGGTGCATTTGTAGTTCTATGAGCATTTGCACATCTGTACATCAAAATGCACTTGATGACAGTTAGTTATTGAAGTATTGAGTATATTTACTGTATATTACTGTAATTTATTCTGTATTTTGCCAGATTATGGCGATCCTGGGGTCGTGATGATGGGGCCCTTGAATATTGTTGCCCAGGATACAGTGAAGTGTTAATCTGGCCCTGAGTAAGAGTGAGGCCATCCCACTTAACCATCTCACTTAACAAACACATTTGGGCACAACCCCTTTTAAGTGGACCCTTCAAGGTATGAAATATCGAGGAATTAAAATACAATCTCCAATTAGCAAAATTGTTGATATAAATGCGCCAGAACTTCTTAAAACTGTCAGGGAAGATATTAAAAGGTGGACGGTTTTACCTCTATCCCTCTGGGGAAGATCAGAAGTCATAAAAATGAACATATTACCAAGGTTGGCTTTTCTCATGTCTTCTATACTGCTTAAATCCCCCCAGCTGGTTTAAGGAAATAAATAAGTTATTCTCTGGTTTTCTTTGGAGGGACAAAAAACCTAGGATTAGTAATACAAAATGAATCAACCCAAGAATTAAAAGAGGATTAGGGCTTCCAGATATATACCAATATTATATAGCATTTAACTCTAGATATCCCCTGCAGTGGGCCTATGCCAGCGTTAGAGAGATTGGCAGTTGGGAGTGGCTTGAGGAAAACATTTTCAAAGCTTATAACAGAGGCATAACTTTAACAGCTTTATGGTATAATCCCAAAGCCATTTCCAGAATTAATAATCCAGCCTTACAGTTCTCATGTGATGTAGTCAGAATTCTCCAGAAGCTTTAGTGGAACATCTTTACCATCATGTCCACCGTGGAATAATCCTTTGTTTACCGCAGGAGGTAAACCTCTTAACAAGAAAATATGGCAACAGCATAATATAAGTTAGTTGGGCCAAGTAATTAGTGATGGCAAAATGATCCCGTTTAATGACTTAAAATTACAATTTGGACTGATAGATACAGAATTTCTGTCATATCTACACATAAAATCTGTCATGAAACCTTTACTCTCCAAAGAGATAGGGAATAAAAAAGATTTAGAAAATAAATGAAGAGGAATTGTTGTCAGGAAAGGTACAGTCTCAGCAATGTATAAATTATTATGTTCTGCTGCTCCTGACAGAAACTCCCAAACTAAATTACAATGGGAACGTGATATGCGTGTACCCATTTCCCCCCCACAATGGGATAGAGCACTTACAAGTTGTACAAAAGTGTCAAAGTGTGTCAGATACAAATGATACAGATAAAAATATTACACAGAGCTTACATTACACCTTGCAATCTGAATACATTTGATAACACATTATCCAAATCCTGCTGGCATGGCTGTGAGGTGGAGGGTACACTAATGCACTTACTGTGGTACTGCCCTCCTGTTAAGAGGTTTTGGTTGAATGTTATTGAAAGCTTGTCACGTGTCCTTAACATAGATATAAAACCCTGCCTGATAACCTGTGTATTAGGTGCGAATATGAACACTGCAAAACCCCAAACTGTACAAAGTATGATTGTCCTGGCTTTTTTATCAGCTAAACAGATCATTTTAATGAACTGGAAACAACTTAGGCCAAACTGTTTTAGTATGGAGAACTGGAGCAAGGACTTCATGGAGGTTTTATCGATGGAACAGGCCGCCTCCACTCTGGTAGAGGATAATAGGCCGGATGAACTGTGGAGCTTTTTTAAATCTTGTCTGCAGGAAACATGAGGATCCCCATGCTGTGAAGAACTGATATACTACTGTACCGACCCCACCCCCCTTTACCCTTTTTGTTGGCTTGTTTGTGTTGTTCTGTTGTTGTTGGTTTTTCTGTTGCTGTGTATGTGTTGTTGTTGTTGTTGTTATCAAAACATTAATTTAAAAAAACATATCTGCAGGGAGTGATGAGGTTGGAGCCTGGACGCCAAACTCTAACTCTGCTACACTGCTGGAATAAACATTTCAAACGTGAGTTGTCTGACTGAATTATTATTATATGAATCATATAGACACTGACCTTTGACCCAGAGCAACCCTAACAACAAACCACAACATCATCTGTACAGACAGCAGCAGTTCACTGCCCCATCCTACTCTTATAATCCCAGACCTCTGCCTCAACCTTCACACAACTACAAGAGTAAAGACGATTGGCATTATGGGTAATGTAGTAGTGACATACCTGACATGAAATACTGCCGAAAATGCACCAAAAGACCCCCAACAATAAGACCGAGAACCAGGAGAACCAGGAGAGCTTTGGCCCAGGATGGAAATCGTTCTGTGGGAAAGAGAAACATAAAGAAAATAACTTCCTGACCTCTGACCTGTATCTACAGTACTGACCTCTGACCTGTATCTACAGTGAGATTTAGAGTTTTTTTGCTGACCTTTGACCTGCAGCTGTATGTCTCTCACTCTCAGTTCTTCCCAAAGCGATCTGACGGTGCAGGTGTAGGTGCCGCTGTCAGAGAGGCGGAGTTTTGTCAGATTGAGACTGAGGTCTCCAGTTTCCAGAGCGTCAGCCATCATGGATGTTCGGCCGCTGTAAAGCTGGTTTTGGTCTTTAAGTTCATCACCTTCCTGCTGACGCTGGTGGACGGTTGGAGGATTGAGATCGTAGCGGCTCCACACCACTGTGGGGTCGTCCAGTTCAAAAGTTTGAAACTCACAGAGCAGCAGGACAAACTCCTCCCCCTCATACAGCTCCACAGCCGAGGCATTCTGGGAAACTGTGAGGTCACACTGCACAATCTGCTCCTGTTTGTGATCAGACTCACAAACAGGAGCAATAACAGAACAAACTGATAGACAGACTGTATTGATCCAACATGGTGTTTAAATGAGTGTGTTAGGATCATTAATACTATTGGTAATATAAACTATAAGAATGTGAACAACCTCCAGAGATATAATCCTGAAGAACAGAACTGAGGACAGTCTGACTGTACAGTCTTCTACATTCATCATGATTTACACAAACATTGAAAATATGCTGCCTTTAATATGTTCTTCATGTTTTTATTGGAGTTTAAACAGACTAATGAAGTGAAGATGATAGAAATACAGATTAAAGACATGATGTTGGACTAATGATCAGATCAGAGGGAGGAAGGTTATCTTACCGTGCACGAGGATCACAAACACCACAAACATCTTCATCTTCCTGTAAAAACTACAACAACCACAAAGTCCTCATTAACCTGCTTCTCACTAAACGAATACTTGAAAAACACATTCAGTTCACAGCCAGTTGTCACTTTCCTCCTCCTGATAATCTGCCGACACTGTGAGGAGAAAACTTTAGTTTCACTTTAAACTGTTTCCAGAGAAGCAGCCGTTGGAATGGAAAGAAACCGGCTGAGCAGCTTTCACACAAACATTATTGGTTGATTGCCAATAACTCCCAAAACGACATATATGAGCGGTGGAGAGTAGAGCAGTGACAGACACACTGGACCTGAAGGACGTTAAACATTTGGGTTTGGGTTGTGAAACGCTCAGTTTTAGTCCAGTTGACAATAATGTGAACAGAGAAATGTTTGATGTTATTAATGTACAGTCAGGGTCTCCAACATTTAGAAACTGCTAACTTACATATGTTGTGCAATAAGCATTCATTAGCATAATCACCTATATGGACAATATTCCAGCAGCTGCTTGGCCCTTTAAACTGGAAGTGGTTATAGAGTTTCATTATTTTTGAGTCCATTTTGAGGTTATGTGCTTAATACATTAGACCTGCATTTTAGAATAAACAGATCCACTTCTGGTTCATTTAGCTAATCATGCAAAACATATGCAAGTTAGCCTCCAGTATTGTGTAAAAGCTGGGGACCCTCACTGTTCATTTATAACATAAAACTGTGGCTTACAATAAAGCAAACACACTATTTGGTTGAAGCAACAAGAGCACTTGGTTATGTAATTTTTGGGGTAAAATCAGTAAGTTATGGGATGTAAATCAGAAACACTTTATTGATGTGTAACACTGAGGAGGATCTATTGTCAGAAATATAATATCCATAGGTTTGTTTTCATTAGTGTTTAATCAGCTGAAAATAAGAATGGTTGTGTGTTCGTTACCTTAGAATGAGACGTTTTTATCGACCTACGCACTGGACCTTTAAAAGCTGAAATAAGTAAAGGGCTTCCCACCGGACACAGACAGCAGTCACTGGACTGAAAGGAGGCAGAGAAGGATCAGGTTCAGAGTTTGATAAAGCAGCTCTCTGGAATGAAGTCCGACTGCCACAGATCACTTCTGAGGAAACAGGAGGAGGTTCAGTTTCCTCATATTTGTTATAGCTGTTGGTTTGTGTCAGCATGAAGCAGCCTCAGACAGACAGACTGACAGAACTACTTTATCAATCATTAAATAACTGAAGCGTTCAGCAAAACAAGCTTTTAATATTCACCTTTATTTCAAAAACATTTTAATGTCAGTAACAGAAACACTTTTCATTTGTACAATAATGATATCAAACTATCTTCTTCATGATGTCACAATGTATTGAGATATGT